AGGGCCGTTCTGGCCTTGCCCTCTGTTAATATGCCTTCCACGCGTGCAACGGCACACGTCACAGCAACGGACTGGGACTCACCCGTGGCATGCCGTGGCAGATCAGGTAGGCCCTTGCACACGTCTGCTATTGCTCCCTCGCGTGTGCACCAAACGTGCTATATGTTTCTAGCTCCACGTGTACCGGTCGCATGTGTGGCTCTAGTACTCCCTGGTCGGGTGCGAGGCAAATCTCAGGGTCTATACAGCTATACTCTCCCCTGCCTGCCAGGTCATTACTGCTCGTGCCAGGGTCTTAAGAACCCAGTCCTGGTACCGGGTACTAATCACCTGGGCCTTGCCAAATTCTACACACCTCCTCCCGCTATCTGAACCCTGCCCGCTATAGCCAATCTAGCCCTTCCCATTTCCATTTTTCTGTACCCATACATTACTACTCAGTACACCCCTTTCCATTTTTCTGTACCTATACATTACCACTTAGTACACCCCGCTTTGGTATTGTACAACCGGTTCGAACCGTACGACACAGGAACATCCTACCCGTTCTACTACCCAACGGTCTGGCGTCTACACTAGTGCTGCGTGCTGCTTCCCCATGCCTACTCCCCAATTTGCACGAACCTACCTCCGTCCTCGTCCGGTCTTTAACATTCGTCAAGCCTAGCTCCTAGTTCCTAGCGCCATACACACTTCCCAGACCCTCATCATACTATTGTACAGCCCGGCTTCACTGATTTATGAGGCCACCTACTAATGTACATTTCCTGCTTGCCGTGTCCCTACTATACCCCATTCACAGCCTCCTGCCCCTTGGCAGGTACCTCAGACCCATAACACAGACGTGTAACCAGTTGTCTGATCAGCGTCTCCAACGCTGTACCAAACGAACTGGTGGCTCTGGCAAACCTAGCCAGAGCATTGAAGAAGAGCGCCGGGGGGCAACCCTGGTGCCTGAGCTCGATGCTGATAGACAGTGTTGCATGGGCTGCTGCTGGTGCCGGGTCACTTGCGTTGTGTCGGATTCTGTAGAGAGCTGCCGTCACAGTCCCCACCTTCAGTCTCTAGTCTTCTGGGTATGAGCTGAAATCTTGAAAACATCTGAAAGGAAGGGGTTTCTCAAGGTCCTGGTCTTCATTCTTATGTCTGGGACGAATCAGAAACTTGATAGGACCTGGTATCGCAGAGACTCTGGTACCTAAAAAATCCCAGGAGTTTGAATCATCATCAGTTCGTACCAACTTGAGCTGCTCCCCATGTGCTGCTGCAAACTTCCGGCGGGCATCCACTGCCACGGCTACACTCTCCGGATCATCCATGTCACACGTGACAGCCAATGTGACATCGTCTACCAGCCTGACTCCATGCACGAGCCGCTGGTCCGTACCTAGAGATGCGAGAAAATCGACTCCGTACTTGGCACACAATATACATGCCAGCACCGGGCTGGAGTTCTTCCCAATAGGGATCCCCACCCGCTGCTTAAGGATAGCAGATCTGCAGATGATATATGTATTGTCTAACTCAAAACTGACCATCTGTCTGATCTGAGAGAATCTCACGCATACGTACCCAGGTCCTAGACCTCTGTGGCTAAGGACCAACACTCGCTTCTGGACCCCCCTTTTCTCCCACTGCTGCAGTAGCCAATCCACGGCCAGGGAAATTTCCCGGTGGGGTAAGGATGTAAACATCTCTTTAATGTCCTAGCTCACCATCAGGGCCATGGATCTTTGCCCAAAAAGCTTCAGTTTCTGCCCCGCCTTTTCCAAGTTTGGTTTCAGCAAGGCCATAGCTTTTAAGTTGAAATGTCTTTCTCCAGTAAGTGGTTTAGTGCCCTTGCTATCCGTCTTCCTGCAGTCTTCGTACCTTCTGTACATGCTGGTGCGATAGGCCTCCACCTTGCCAAGTCTTTGTGCTTAGGTAGGACGTACGCCTGCCCAAGCTTCGCTGTCGGGTTCCAGGCTCCAATCTTGTGCAAGTTCTGTTTCCTGAACAGTTACTCCTTGCGTACTGTAGCTAGTACGTCTGCCTCAGATTTCTCGGAGACCTGACAGTGTTCGTAGGCCACATTGAGGTTGAACATTAACTACAGTCCGTAATGGTAAGTGGATGGACACATGAAAACCAAATCGCCGGGGTTCAATCTTAAATGAAAATGAAAAAGATGAGAGCATACGGTGGAACCGGTGAACCATTCGAATCTCTTTTCGAATGGGGCAGAGGGCTCATAGTAAGATTTTAAATACCAATGTTTCCAGAAGCTACTCTTTATTTCACTCCTTTCATTTATACCGGTCTACCAGAACAATCACCAAATGGCAGAGCTCATCTGCCAACCTACAAGCCTGCACGTCCGTACATCCTGGCCGTGTCACAGCTCCGTCGGAGATGCAATCCTCAAACCAGTTCCGTTCCCCTTCCGAGATAAGCTCCTCTTTCATCACAACCTTAAGGGTCTGCTCGCCGGCTTGTTGTATCTCTGAGAGTTAAGGGTCAACGGTCTTCTGCAGGATGTCTTCCCATTATGAAGAAAGAAAGGGGCCGATCCCCATGCACAGCGATATCCTGGCTAGCACATGCCCTTCATTCCTCGGTCGGCGATCTTGGTGACATGTACATGGCATGCTGGATGCTCTAGCCACCGCTCGATGATTGGTGAAGACCTGCTCAACTGTCCTATTCTTACTCCATGCCACTCTCACCCTGTGCCGCATCACTGTCTTCAAAACTGGATGGATATTGCAACTGTACACATACTTTACAGTTGCATCGTGAATCTTCATGAATCTTCCTCTTCCGCAACTGGTGGTTATACTTCACACCTATATTCAACTTCAGCCTGATGTTCACACCCGTCTTCTTCCTGATCACTGTTGCTAGCATTTCCTTCAGGGTCTTCCGCGTGGTTCTACTAGTACTAAACTCCCTAGCACATCTGTACAAGTAGACCAGTTTGGGAATGTCAGAGTACTTGAGTTCCACCTGTTTCCTAGGCATCTCTAGAAGTATCCTGACGTAGCCTTTCCCTCTCTCTATCCCTCGCATTCTCAGTCCTCTGACAATAGGTGCTACTCTGAAGCGGCCTTCCTTCTCCAGGCTTTGTTTGGACCTCTAGCAAGAGGGCTTTTCCCTCGGTCACCTATTAGTGTCGATGTACCAAATAGCCTCTTCACTATAGACCACTTCTCTCCCCAGACCTCACCGCCAGATGAAACAAAGGTTATGGTTTTCTTCCCTGCCGCACATGCCTCTTCCAACAGGCCCGTCAAATGAAAAAAAACTTAATGTCAGAACCTGCTATAACGAAGGTCCAAAGACCAGTTCTGTACACAGGGGTCACCGTCTTGCACGTCTTCCTTTCTTTCTTCCCTGGTCACTTCTTAGCTCTTGTTCCTACACTCTTCCCAACCACATTTAATGTGGGAGATAGTCTGCTAATGTAGGGAGTGTCCTGCTGGCTGTGCTTACTTTTAAACATACACAGTTGGGAGGGGGAGGGTCATTCAATTTGAGGGAGCGTCCTGCTGGCTGTGCTTACAAGATACACAGTTGGGAGGGGGAGAGGCACTGAGGGACTGGGTACCATTGGAAGTCTCCCACCTTGGAATACCCCGCTCTGCCCTGGGTGTGTCATGGGAGTGTGATTATCGCACTGGCCGTCCGGGTAGGGGCTGGCATATGCCTCAGCCTGCACAACCTTTCTTTAAAAATAAATAAATAAATAAAAGGCAAAAGAGCAGCTGGAAGTCAAAATGGAACGACTTTTTGGGACCATTTCTCGATTTATGTGTCATCCTTGTGCAGGGGCCATGGTGCGCTTCTTTCTCTGTATCGTTCCAATTTTAACGAGCGTCCCAAAGAACAATGACTTTGTTTTGTTAAAAATAAATAAATAAATAAGTCCTAGAGGACCAGAGGTTGACTGGGCCCGCAGTAATGAAGATGCAAGTTTGCTTAAAAGGGAAAACTAAAAAGAGTTCCAAAAGTTGGAACCTGTGTAGCACACCGAACATGTTCGGAGTTTTTCCAAACGTCCAAACATGTTCGGGTGTTCGGCCGAACGCTTCCCCAACGTGTTCGGCCGAACATGTTAAAAAAAAAAAAAAAAAAAAACTTTCGTTTTTTATTATTATTTTTAACTCGAGTTTGCTAACGAATTTGAACAACGCCTCCCCAACGTGTTCGGCTGAACATATTAAAAAAAAACAACAAAAAAACTTTTGTTTTTTTATTTTTAACTCAGAGTTTGCTAACGAATTTGAACATACCTCCCGGGTAAAAGTTGTTTGTATTATTATTTTACATAACATATACATTTTTCAGATTTTTCTGAGTTTTTTTTTAATTTTTTTTATTTTAATGTTCACGTTCGGAGGGCTTTGGCGCTCGTCCGCATTCGATCAGAACGTTCATGATGCTACACAGGTTGGAAAATGGGCCGAAGAAAAGGAGGGAAAAACAAAAAGTAACAGAAAATAATAAAAATATACATCTAGAGAAACAACTTGGAAAAAGTCCAAAAAATCTTATAGACCACCACTACCTCCGAGCCCGTACTTGCCGAGGTGGAGAAGAACTGCACCCCAAGCTTTGCTGAAGCGCCAGCACAACCTTTTTAAAGGCTTTTTTGCTTTTGTTTTGGCGGGGGCCCCCAGCCATTTTCGTCCGGCACCGCCCGGCCTCCGAAAGCATGCAGTGTATAGGTTATAGTCATGTACCACCCCCAACAGTCACCCGTACCATTGCATTGAAAACCAGATTAAAAAAAAGCCATAAAACCAGTAAAAAAAACTTACAAAAACTAGTCAAGACTCAAAAGGTTATATTCATGACTTAGCCTTTGCCTCCTGAAAGCCAGTGGTGGTTTAATGAAGGTGAGATAAAAATAAAATGAAGTGAAAAATCATTAAAAAATGGCAGCAAAATAGAGAGGAGACCATAAGATGAAGCACAAAAAAAAAAAAGAAAAAAAAAAAGCCAGAGCAAGAGCTTGACCCTTCAAAGGGTTGGATTTGTTGAAATATCTTCTTCGCAAGAAAAATGCTCTGGACAAAGACCTGGTACGGACTTCCCATTCCTCACTATGAAGATCAGATTGGAGCTCCCCCTCCTCCTCCTCCTCGTCCNCCCCCCCCCACACACACTTGCTTGCCCTTAACTAACTAACAGAGAATCAAATAGCCTCCTTGTCAACAGCCCGAACGACAGTCTGTAAAATTCAAGCGCACTGACAATCCGACCCTGTTGATCATCGTACCAGGACCACAGTGCTACCTGTGGTAGGACCACAGGGTCACCAGTGTTGTGGACCCAGCGCTAGTGGTACTAGTAGTGGGAGCACACAGTCACCATGGAGCTAGGAGGATGACAGACGCTCATAGGACAACAGTGCTAGGACCGCGGTGGCTGGGGCATAACCTCACCTTACATACCGATCGATGTCAATACTTGCGTCCGGACAATGGGCCCGGACAATGTCCCGCAAGAGATCGACACATCAGTATGCCTTAACCACCGGCGCATCTGGGTCGACCTGGGCAATCCCTCTCTGATCGACGGTCCATCGTAGATGCCGGTACCTTTTAGCCCGAAAGTGCAGCCAATTACCGACTGCAACTGCCCTGCCTCTCCAACTATACCAGCTGCCGCGAACCACTTTGGACGAATGGGGGGGTGAGGGCTCAAGTTAACCCCCCGACAGTATCAAGTATTCCTGGACCACTGAAACTGGACCAATGGTCCACTGCCCCTAGATCACAGGCGCACCTAAATCTCGAGGGGTGCATTTGTGTACCTTGAGATGGTCCACTGCCCCTAGATCACAGGCGCACCTGAATCTCAAGGGGTGCATTTGTGTACCTTGAGATGGACCACTGGACCCATGCCGAGGTACCATGCACTTCACTGTCATGTCTAGGCAGCTATCCAAAAACAAACCAGGAACCAGGAACTATGGTCCCACGATCCACGTGCCATAGCCCCGGTGCCATGGTCCAGGTCCCAGGATCCATGCACCATAACGCCGGTGCCATGGTCCAGGAACCATGGTCCAGGACTTCCAGGTCCCCAGTCCCCGACCACGTGCTCCCTGGAGTCTGGAACAATCTGCCAACTCCACCGGCAAACCAGTGGCGTGTCTGCCCACATGCACATGCAGCATATTGGACCTATCTCGGGCCCCTTTTGGACACCATTGGACCCACATGCACAGGAGCCACAATGGGCCCACATGTGGTCCCACCTCATCTCCTGCCTGTCAACTGCTCTGCCTGGACATCTGGGCTTTCAGTGCCCCCCATGTCTGAGCCAAGCTTATCCTGGCACACTTTATCAAACTACTCCAGACATGCGGTGAGAGATGCTCTCAGCCGTTAACCCTGAGATGAGGCGGGTTGGTCCCTGTGCTCTTGAGGGGAAACGCCAACTGCCCTACCCTGAACGTCTACAACCTTAAAAAAAAAAAAAAAAAAAAGAAGAAGAAGAAGAACAAACTAACAAGCTGTCCACCCCCGCTCTACTACTTGCCCCGCTGCAGATCCCGATGGACCTGTGGCCTCGACAAAGGATGCATCTTCTGATCCTTGGTGTCGCAGCCTGCCACATAATCACCGACACACAGTTGCTCGATACCTGTTGCCACATGCAGCTTGCGCCTGGACATGGGTTGCTTTTCCACTGGTCCGATTCTAGTCCAATTCTTGTCCAATCCTGGTCCAAGGCTGGTCCAATCCTGGTTCAGGAACTGTGACCCGATCACTGAATGCAGGACGAGTCCCTATACCGACTGCTATTCTTGGTCTGTCCTCCCACCCCTCCCCCTCGCATTGCGAAGCACTCCATCCGTTTCTGTTTACTTTCCACCCGCATCCCCTCAACGCAAGGTTAACTCAAAGATACCTGCATTTATACTCAAAGATACACCAAATACAGATACATCTCTAAATGTGTCAACCACAGAACTGGCATCACATCTTGCCATCCTCATACTCTCCACTACCTTCGTCCCCCGAATACAACGGACGGTCATGCTCGCTGTATTTAGACTCAAAGATACACCAAATACAGCTCAAAGAATGACCGTACGACGTACTCGGTGGAAGAAGGTTGCCTCAAATCATTTCATAGAGAGGCAAGCCCACCCCGCTCCCGCACACACCCACCTCGCCTGCCCCTCCTCCCGCCCCTCACCCTCCTGCTGTTATGGACCTCCAGTCATTTCTTCTTCTTCTTCTTCTTTTTCCCGACTTGCATCAGCTAAATGCAAGCTCACCTCCTCCTCCTTCTTGACCACAGAACATCTCTCTGCTATCCAGTGGCTCCTAGCACACCCTTTGATGATGCTCCGTGGCCCTCCCCCTCCCCACTCCCCCCTCCCCCCTCCCCACTCCCCCTTCCCACCTCCCAACACACACACAAAAAGCCCCTCCACCTCAATACAAGGTTGCCTCATCGCGTGCACCGCAGAACTGGCCTCACGTTCTGTCGTCCTTCTACTGTCCCGTGGGCCTCCAGCATTCCTCGGCAGAAGCACCTGTCCTTTCCATCCCCCCCTCCCTTCCCACTTCCCCCTCCCCCTCCTCCTCCCTTCCCCCCCACCTAACACCCCACTCACCCTCTACCCCTCTACCACACCTTGTGATAAAACTGGACAATCTCCTCGTCTCTCTTCGCTTTCGCACGGCGATTGATAGCACCTCACACCGGGAATTTCTGGATGCATCCGACCGCAATAATGGTCTGTCCGGCATGCATCTGACAGCAATTATGTCCAGAGATCAGTCCAGAAAGTCCTAGTGCGAATGCAACCCGACAGCACATTCATCTCTCCATTCGAAGAAGGAATGTGTATTCTATGCTTTTGTCTTTTGTAGGCCGGGAGCAAGGCCTCGTCGTCCTTCTCGTCCCAGAAGATTCGGAATTCTTGAAGTTGTCAGTTGTTGTTGTTCTCAACAAATAGTCATGCATACAGAACATGGACTTCCATCGATAAATCCATGTCTATACGGTTTTTGTGTCGAAAAAAAGGTAAGCCTAAGGGCAAGCTATGGCACCCACCCACAATCTGATGCCCTTGCACAGATTTGATAACTGAAGAGGCTTCAATTTCTTGCTTTTGGCCCTCTAATCAAAAAGGTTATAACCGGAAAGTTGCGGAAACAAAGTTTTCAAAATCGGAAAGATAGAAAGAAAAACAGCTAGCTAGCTGTGCCTCCCTTTACCACCCCTCCTTTTCCAACACCCCCCCTCCTCCTCCTCCTCCTCCAATTGCCATTCCAAACTCCCTCCGGAGTCGCTACCTACGACCATAATTCGGATCATTCGCACTTTCTGTTGCTATAACAACAACTTCTGGTCGCTTGTTGTTATATTTACGACAAACTTTCCTGATCGCGGACGAAATATCTCGCTCGACTGCCGATAGCGATGTATTTCGATCACTTGAGCGAAGAACCTTGACGGCTTCCGTATGTATCCGCTCGAGGAGCCTGCCTCCGTCCACCCACATGCAGCGCGTTGTAATTCGCACCCTCCCCCGTAAACCCCTTCGGACCTCATGTTCGGGAGCGACATCGCCTTCGCCCTCACCCATCCCCCCATCATCGACCCCCCCTATCCCCCCCCGAGGCCCAATTTCCTCCCAACCGCCGTCAAGCTCCTCCTCCTCCTCCTCCAGATGATCATCGCCACGGTAAATTTCCACACTAGCGATCACGATCCCTTCCACTGCAATGTGCATCCGCTCCTCTACTGCGAGATCTACTGACGACCCGAAGCCTTTATCCCCATCATTGTACATTGTCTGCATCATTTCACCACCGAACACAAATTTTAAATTATTTTGATGGCATCGTCACTACGTGATTCAAAATCATAAAATCACTTGAGCTACCGCAATGCAAATTTCAATCATAGAAATACAAATTTCAATCACCACAACATTACTCAGAGAGGAACGACAGTACTAAAAGGGTACAGAGAGAAGGACAATGACAAACAACATAGCTGGTAGCAGACCCCTTCGCTGTTCTCATTATGCAAGGAATTATTTGACAGGCACTGATTAGAAGCCTGAGAGGAACGAGCGGCCTGGGCAAGCTGACAGTCAATCCTCCTTAGTAGGAGCAATCAATGCTGGTCAGGGTTCCTTCGGCCAAACGGAAGGAAGCTTGAGTGGGTAATCTTATGTACTCAATTTTGACTTGCCAGGGGAATAGGAACCGGACTGACGCTCCCCAGACTGGATATGGAGCCAGGACCTTAAGGGCCTGTTCAAACCAAAAAAAAATAAAAAATAAATAAATAAATAAAAAATCAATCACCACAATGCAAATGATTACAATGTTACACATTTCATCGGCTGCAATGCAAATTTCAATCAACCCCCTCACAAAAAACAACAGAAGTTCGAATTGTCTCAATGCCAGCAATCTAAACTTGACTCTGCAGTGCCCACTCACCATATGCCAAGCATCAATTTTTTTTTTTTGATTTTTTTCCCCCTTCGTTGTCTTTTTTTCCCCCCGTTTGCGAAGTGCTGTGCTGTGTTCGTGGGGAGAGCACCGACTTGTATTCAGAGTCCAAAATGATGCTTTCCCAAAAAGTAGTTGGCAGAAGACAACAAACCAAGGAGCAGTTGTACTACTCACCACAGTATCGACTTTTCTAGACCCTTGCAGACTGACAGCAGCCGCAGCTGCAGCAAAATGAGAAGAATGAGGAGAAGGGGGAGAAGGGAGGGGAAGGGGGGGAAGGAAGCGGAGGAGGGGAAGGAGGGGAAGGAGTGGAAGGGGTGGAAGGGGTGGAAGGAGGAAGAGGAGACGGAATTGAAGGAAATGAAGGAAAGGGAAGTGAAGGAGTAGTAGTAGGATAAGAAGGCATCGAGAAGGAAGAGTCACATACCGTCAATTTCTCCTTGCCAAGAAGTGAGAAACCATTGCTATGCACCCTAGCGTTTCGCAAGGGGGAGACCCCCAGCATTTCGCCATTCTTGATCACCTGCACACCAACACAAACACACACACACACACACACACAGAGAGAGAGAGAGAGAGAGAGAGAGAGAGAGAGAGAGAGAGAGAGAGAGAGAGAGAGAGAGAGAGA